GAAGTTATGTAGTTTATCGCATGCTCTTAACTATGCGAAACGGTCATTCGCGAATCGGTCTTCAAAACCAACTCTGACCTCTGTCATGCTGGACTCTTAACAGTTAATTGGTACTCAAGACTGATCGCGCACATCTTGCGATACCATGGTCCGTAATGGAGTGATTGTAATGACACTCGGGGAATGATGTTAAAGGTAGGCTCAAGTTGGACACCCACAAGACCATATTTTTGAATTCTGAAAAGGGTATCAAACCGGTCGTAGACAGCACAGGAATGCATCGAAAGCGTGGAGGATTTACGCTTTGAAGGCGAAGTATGTAGTATTGAACGACATTGAGACCAAGAGTAATAAGGAGCGACTAGACAAGGTCAAAAGCAATGCACTCACAAAGGGAGGTCTTTGCCAGGCAAGAGCTGGCTTCTTTTAAAAGGGTTTGGTGCCAAATCGCGCTGAATCAAAAATCAGATGTCAAATTCATCGTCAGGACCATTTTGAAGCCAACAAGTGGCCGCCAACCTTGATTGCAAAATTTGGTCGCCGCGGGGATTGAACCATCAAGAGTATTATTCACCACTTTTTTGGTTACTACTGAAAGCGTTCAACGAAACTATGGTTTTGTGGTCCCCGCAGCGTCCCTCACATCACCATTACTGAACGTTTCTGAGCGCAACTTGTCCTGGAAGACCTCGCCGTTTTAATTATTTTATTTTTTGCCTTGTCAGAGCGGGTACGGCAGACTGCCAACGTCCAACTGAAGGTGCAGGGATGGGGCTTTACGATGGTAAGGACTGGTGCTGGAGGCAACAGGATCACTCGATAACGAAAGCGATGGATTTGATAGCGCAAGGCCAGTGACCATCTATCTCAAGGCAGGCATCCTTCCTCCTCCCAACTATGCAGTTTTCAGATGAGTGTTTGATTGTAGCGTCCCAAATTATTCATTTATCAGGCTACATATTTCGAAACTTATGCCTCGTCCAAGCCCAAAAAAAGTCAGGAATAATGTGAACTTGCCTCCCAAACAGGGTCAACCCTACGTTGGTACAAGTACCAACGGGGGGGGGTCGTACCCACTTTAGTCGCTCGAAATCACGTGTGGGATTGAGGTGAAACTAAGATTTCGTGGGTAGTAGGCTGGGCGAGTGGAGGGCGCGCAGGATAAAAATTTGCCGTTTCAGCGGGTATATACCTCCCTCCTAGAAAAGGAAATAGGGTTGGAATGTGAAATAGGAGGAAACTTTTCTGTAATATTTTACCGTTTCAGAATGACTATATAGCCCCACCCCTATACCCCGCTCGACGGCGAGAGCATTTTGGAGGAAAAAGTGGGCGGGGTTTTGATGGAAGATGGAGATGGTGGAGGTAGGGAAAAGGGGGTCGTATCAAATCCACGTTGGGGGAGGGGGGTCGTAAAAATTTTTCGAAAAGTAACAACGATAGGACAGACCCTGCTCCCAAAGCCTCCCAATTACTGATGACGATTTCCTTATCTTAGTAAACCACCTAACGGTATCGATCGACAGAGATTTTATGTTACTAGGCCATGATCAACTGCCGCCCTAATGAGACATACCCAAGCAATTTTCTCAATTTTCCCTTTTTTGATCGTTGTTCTTATCGGTGGAATTCCTCCTTCCCAACGTTGACGCCCACCTAACGGTATCGATCGATGGAGATATGTTACTGGGAAATGACCCTACTATGTATAACAGACTTTTAAATCCTAATCCAAGCAAATAAACATATTCGATTGGTAAAAAATCATTTTTCGTGCCATATCCATATTAGAGGGGATATGGATAAATTATATATTAAAATGCTAACTAGAAGGCACGCAATCAGGTCTCATCGAACACAACGAAAAATATTGCGAAAATGCGACGTATCAAATTTCTGAGAAATCTGCATCAATCCAGTATCCATGTATGGGTATTCAATGCTTGAAATAAATACTACTCCAAGAAACGAGCCACTTCTACTGCACGGAACGAACAGTGATCATCAAACCATTTATCTGTATATACAATTAATATGTAAAATATAATGTATCTATTACGTGAACGAACACGTACGCGAACCGCGACGCGTGGATGTAAACCAAACAGCTCGTAGAATTAACGGAAAAAACTCATTGGATGGAAGCTAGCAGCGAATAAATACAACCAGAACGCATATGATCCGAAAAAAAAAACGAAAAATAGAATGACTCGCTCAGCTAGACACATGAAACTTTATTACCGAATTTCACCATAATATGTATAATACAGCCATCTTTTTGTCATGTTAAGAAGTTGTGGCGCCACGAATCCAGTGCTCAGCGAAGATAATAGATACTTAGTAAAGAAGACTTAAAGGCATATTCCATGGTAACATTAGGTGTGGGTTATTACGACCGAAAATGGAAGTAGACTTGTGATTGGCTCGTGAGCAGCAGCTATTGATAGTATCAAGAACTTCAATCGCACAGAACTTTAGTTGTTGTTGTTGTTATGCCACACAGGTTGTTGCGGATCAATAAATTCATTCGGTCAATCTTTCAAACAATTCTTCGTCTTCAGGACCTTTTCACTACTCCATCAGAGAGAATAAGCCAATCAATCCTTTTTTTCATAGCTATTGAAGGGATTGGGTGGCTTCGGGCGCTGGTGGAGTAGGAGAAGGTTCTGAAGACGAGGGATTGTTCGAAATGTTGACGGACAGTGGGCCTATCACGAACAACCTCAACAATACCAGGGCACGTATGCCAAGTTCCAAGGGGACAGAACAGGAACCTAATAGCACATTTCGCGCTTATTGTACGACCTGGTTAAAGGTTTTCTCGCTGGTCGGATCCTCATTATTGTATCTTATCGTATCGAGACAAGGAGCCAGCCAATGAGAAGACCGCAAACCCCGCCCATAGAGTGCGAAATGTGCGTTTGAGGGTTCTTCGCACTTTTGTTTGCTCTTCATTGCAGGCCAACCAAGTAACACACCTACTTATATTTTAAGAAGCAGAAGAACCCACATTTAAACGGCCATGGAATGCACCTTTGAAAAAATGGTGACTATAGAGAGACGTGAAGTCAAAGACAAGCCAGAGCTCTTCCACTCTCGGAATGATTAGAGCTCTTCCACTCAAGGAATGATTCAAAAAACGGTCCAACACTAAGAATTTACTTTTTTTGCGCAGCGGAGGACCTTTTGTAACAGAAAAAACATGATACAGAAGAAACCCAAGATACACAGCGCCAGCTAGTGAAATGCATTAGAACGATTGGATTAGGGCTATGTAATCGAAGTATCCGCTTCATTCAAACTGAGCCAATGAATGGATGTGATCATTCGGGCGGTAGAACCTGATGCCATTTCGTGACAGTTATGCCGGAGCCCTGAATTCATATTGTTGCATTATTTACCTCATTATCAATCGATAAAATGGGCGTTTCTTGAAAGATATGCTGCCATTGGAGAAATCCAACAGGATAAGGCCGCGTTCATAGTTCGCGACCCCAGAGACTTAGGATAGTAGGCGATAGGATAGTAGTAGAGTAGGAGATTGCGCTGACAAGATACGTATCGATTGAAATCGCTGGAGAGTAGTAGATTGGGCGACTTCAAGCGAATAGATCAATACATATCTAATCTTGTCAGCGCACTATCCTAATCTACTACTATCCTAATCTCCTACTCTACTACTATCCTACTATCGTAATATCGCAATCTACTACTCTCCGGCGATTTCAATCGATACGTATCTAATCTTGTCAGCGCAATCTCCTACTCTACTACTATCCTAATCTACTACTATCCTAATCTCCCCGTCAATACATATGTTTTTCATTGTCGCGTACTATCCTAATCTCCGGAGTCGCGAACTATGAACGCGGCCTAAAAGTCGAAGCAGTGAAGAATTCGTAGAAATCCTGTGATAGCTGCTAAACATGACAGATTTTCAAAAAAAAACCCGAAGACTTCCCAGTGCTATGCTTACCGGTCGGCAAGCCAATTTTTTGAATACGGTAGGCTCGAGATGTACGTGGGAAATGTGAGGATTGCTGCAACGTCACGAGACGCTGTGTGAATCGATGATCACTATTTCTTTGTTGCTTTCTCGACCACTGACATCTCTTGTTAGATGTCAGAATATAGCCTATCGATCAGTAGATTAAGTTTTGGGTGAGGGAGAGGCTCCTTCTATACGAGGCCTAGTCTATCGGTTCTCACAGCGAATCGTGACGTCATAGCAGTCACCACGCACATTTCTTGCCCACCGTATTCGAAAAATCGACGTGCGCATCCCACTTACGTAGCACCGGGTTCCTATCAGGGTCAACCGTCCGTTGGACAAAGTCCAACGCATGGCTCTCTAGCGTGTGAGAGTAATGCCGAGAGTGAACGTACGCACGGAGACACAGACGGCTCGCGCAAGGCGAGTGCGAATGCCGGCGCGGAGAGCGGTCAACGTCGGTCCAACGTCGGTCCAATGTCGGTCCAACGTAACGGTTGACCCTGCTCCTATTCCCACAGCTTCAAAAAATGCGCTGCCTAGTCCACTCAACATGAGCCCCACGTTCAAGAAGAGGGGCAGAGTCACGAGAGCTCTCAAATTCCAGAACTCGACTTGTGGGGATTCCTCTCTCGATGCATATAGAAGGAGTGGAGATCGGCGTTAGAGCACTTTTTGTGTAATGGAACTGCACAGGACAAACCACTTTTAGAAATGTGGATATTTTCTACGCATTCAAAAGAATGAGAGATACCGAATAGAAATAAAAATAATTCGCCCTCTTGGGAAAAAGGAAGAAAGGTTCTTTTTCTTCAAGCAGCCAGCATTTACTTCTTTGCCTGATCTCTGCAGCTATGCCAATGATTCACTGAAATCTGCAAAGTCTACAAACGTTTATGAAAATTAGGAAAACTAGCGGGAATGAGGTTTCTTCGAACAACAGATAAACGCTTCACAAACAAGATAAGCGCGTGATATGCAATGACGAGTTTTTCACTGAACAACTAACCTGTATCATCTGCTCCCAGTGTCCTGAGCGTCCGGTGAACTTGAGTTCAATCCCATTTGCCAACCACCCAAGCATTTGTCGTCGCCTTAGTACACCCACTGAGCTCCACACCTCAATTCGTACTGTACACACATCGAGGTCCGGGCGGTGCAACTGAAAAGGCAGCTTTCAGATCTCCGCCTTATGTCAACCCTATTTTGTAAAAAATATCTAGGTTGAATTCAAACTGTTTCTTTGGACTTTCTCTTTCATATTAAAAGGAAATTATGGATGCAGGCCATAAAATCCGAATGATAGCGGCGCGGCGAACGCAGCGTCAGAAATAGCGCCAGCGCTTCCACTGCAAGCTCTATGATCGGATCGCGAGCGGAGGAAGCTCGTCACTTTGCTAGGCGATGACCTTGCCCTCCCTACGCATTTTGGCAATTTGAATCTCCTGACCCACACCCAGAAAAATACTGCTGACAGTACCCAAGCAGCATGACCATTATTGGAGTGTGTTACAATACTCAAAGGATCCTTACCTGTATAGACGCAGCATGGTCGTATTGTGGTTCTGAGCATCCTTTAACTACTTCAGTTTTTTGACGCCATAGCTCATTGCCGAATTCACCCAATGCAACAATCTTGATGAACGTGTCTGCAATAAAGACATGGTAGATTAATTTTATAGACTAGATGCATTTCAGTAATGTACAACATGTCATTTGATAACAATTGACCTGCAATTAATGCTGCCAGACGGGGGCGGTCGTTGCATGAGCAGTAAAGAAAATGCGCGTATAAATATAACAAAATTCCACCGTTTTAACAAATTTGATATAAGATTGCATTTGGTGGAAAGAATGGAGCAGGAATAGCCGGCTTATAGTGTAACTGTGTCATTCTAATCGCAAGGGCGCATCAGGCTGAGGCCAATGTCAGACTTTGCGAATCGAGCGATTCGATAGTAGCACGACCGCGATGCTAGCGAATCGCTGGACTCGCGAAGTCTGACATTGGCTTAAAAATGACAGGATGGCTGCTAACAAGGGAGGTCGTTCAGGGTGTGCCAAGCTTTTTCAAAATGGTTTCTTGCATGATATTGGGGCACATGCGGGAACCACAGAACCATGGTTCATTTTTCCTGAACGGCCCTCTGAATACCAAAAAGGGGGTCCCTAGTTCGATTCCTCGTGGTGACAAATTTTTGCATTTCGAGTTGACGTTTCAAAATTCGCGCAAAATGGAGTTAGCATGAATAATTAGTACCATATTCATGATTAGGACCGTCAGTAACCCTTACAAATAGACTTTGATTAAAAAACTGGTGAAAAAGGTGTGACACCAAAACGGCCCCACTGTGATGTCACACCTTTTCCACCAGTTTTAATCAAAGTCTATTTGTAAGGGTTACTGACGGTCCTAATCATGAATATGGTACTAATTATTCATGCTGACTCCATTTTGCGCGAATTTTGAAACGTCAACTCGAAATGCAAAAATTTGTCACCACGAGAATCGAACTAGGGACCCCCTTTTTGGTATTCAGAGGGCCGTTCAGGAAAAATGGAACCATGGTTCTGTGGTTCCCGCATGTGCCCCTATGTCATGCAAGAAACCGTTTTGAAAAGCTTGGCACACCCTGAAGGACCTCCTTGTAAGAGCTCAATCTCAACCAGAAATTGCTAAGATTCGCGTGTAGGCGAAGTTTACCATAAATGGCAGCTTACTAGAAATCAAGGTAGCAGGGGGTAAGTGGCTGCAAGGATAAAAAACGGATGAGAACGGCCCTAGCACCCAACAATAAGACCTCTTCTTTGTAAGTTGATTACATCTTTGATGCGACTCTCATCGGTGCTACTCTCTTCAACGCTAACGCTCTCTGTGCAAAAAGGCTAGAGTCAGACGGTGAGGGGGAGGCGTGCCGAGCGGCGCGCGTATAGTCTTTGCTAGGCCACTAGAGGCATACTCTTCGCTGCAAAACGCTCATCATCCTGCACCTTCATGGGTCCACTTGCTTCTCGACTTGGTAGATATTCCCTTCTTCGACCGCCGACCTTTATTCATCACTGCTTTTAAAGGGATCCTCCTTCAAGGAGCAGTGATTTTTTCTCAAAAATGGTTCAATTCTACTCACCTGTCGGTCTGTTCTTGTCGCCAAGCGATGAACCTCGTTCTATGCCTACCGTAAGACATCCGTGATCCGTATCGTAGCACAACGCTATCAGTAACTGAAACGATCAATGTCAACGATACTCCATATCCGGAGAAGGGTTCAGAAGACTTACTTCAGGTGCGCCATTTGTTGGCTGACTGCAGAATCGCCCACACGCATCCACCATACTGTTTCGGCGACTGTCGCCCGAGGCGACGCTGCCATTCGACACTCGATGCATCGAAGGGGAAAGACCGGCCTGAAACTTGAGGTGTCATGTAAGTGAAGCTTCACCTTGAACTCCATTTAACGCGGACATCTTTGATACCTAAGCGGTTTGAAAGTATCATTCACACGATAGCGGTAACCTTTGAATTTTGCCGGAACATCATGCGCCAAATATTCTCGAAGGTACGAGCAGTAGGTATTGCAGGGATATATTTGAAGCGTAAACTACGCAATCTACATGCCTTAGTGGGTGAAAATCCAGTTGGGGGGGGGGCTCCTGACTATTTTATACTCAGTCATAGTGAGCGAAATGTGAACGTCTCATTTGAAGTGCACTTTTGAAAAGGACCGGTGGATGTACGAGTGCCATAGCTCCTGCACATATCCTGTCCAATTTTCTGTACCAGATCTTCCACCCTGGAGCTCCTGCACCCTTAGGCCGAGGCAAAGATGTCCATTATCTGATTCAGGATCGTTTCCTTGAAGTCTTGCAGG